GAGTCCCCTCAGGGAAAAGGGCGGCCTACAAATATTAATAAAATCTAAATCTAAATCTAAACCCTCCTCCTCCTCCTCCTCCTCCTTCTTCTTCTTCCTTTCTCTAATTTTGATCTTTTTGGCTCTCTACCTGCTGCCCAACCCACCTCATGATTTATTCTTTACCAGCTGAGAAGAGCAAATGGATTGCAAGGAGGGGGGTGAGTCAATGAGGGTGGGGGTGTTCCTATTTCCCCAGGCTTCTGATATTGGGACCAACATCTGGCTGTATTTTTAATAATGAGCTGCTCCTAATTGGAAGCTCTGCCGTCCGAGTGAACACCCCCACGCCGGCTACACTTGCTAATTAGGACTTTGCTCCATAATAAGCCTGTAACTTCGGCTTCCTTGAGCGATGATGAACTGCTGACGCAGCGATGGAAGCACACACCTCACTCCGCCGACGCAGCAAGACAGGTTCTCAGCCCCAGCAATTGGGGGAAGTGAACATATGGCGAGAGGAACAGGGGAAGCGTGCAGACAGCTTGCTTGAATTACAGAGCAGCCATTGAACCTGCTCAAAGCGGAGTATTTTCTCATTAAATGCAAAAAGAAAAAGAGAGATGAATTTCATTCTCCAGGAATGACACCCAAGTGTGGCCAGTGGCACCAGGAAAAAATAGAGCCAGAATAGGACACAATTGTCTTCGCAATGAAGGACAATCTCTGTCTTCATTTCTGCATCTCCCAAGATGCAAAATATTACTTGTGGAGGAGAATAAAGTACATAAGCTCATCTTTCTGTAAATATTACTAGCTGACTATGTGGAGCAATCTTAGGTTGCATTAATAGAGACATAGAATCAAGGCCACGTTGTCAGTGTGGTATTCATGAACTGGAATAGGGCTTAGTAACAAGGTCAGCCAATGTGAGCTGAAACAGTTTGAAGCCTGGGTGTGGCTTAGCTTTTTTGCTCTGAGTCTGTTGCTCTGAATGGAACTGGAACTGTTCTCCCTTCTGCCTGTGTTTGTACCTACTCACAATCTCTTCTCTCTACCATGTTGGAAGAACCAGCTTTTGGTATTGTAGATTTACTTCATGTGTTATATTATATATAAAGAGAAGTTATTGAATCCTGCTGAATCAGTTACCTGTGTGCGCTTTCTGGATGTGATTCAGGGATGGGTTTCTGCCAGCATTACTGCCCATTCGGTGCACCTGCGATTTTGTGCACACGCCTGACACGCACTCTGCGTGCATGCACAGTTGCCTATGTGCATGCGTAGAACACTTTAAAAAGTTTTTTAAAAAGATGTTGTGGTGACCGGGGAACTGGTTCAGGGGCTTGGCAAGCATGCCCTCCCTACCGGTTCGAAGACCCAGTCACCATTTCCACTACCAGTTCCACCAAACCAGTGAGAAGCAATAGAAACCCACCTCTGATATGATTTCTGCTGAAAACTCTGACACCCATGAAGTACAGTACAATAGCAGAGTTGGAAGGGACCTTGGGAAGTCTTCTAGTCCAACCCCCTGCCTAGGCAGGAAACCNACCTCCTTGCATCATCCTCATTGCATTAGCTTACAAATTACAGCTTACAACCTTACATCAACTGGCAGCTACTAAATCCTCAGTACCTGACAGTTTCCTGGGATTCATATTTCTGAAGGTTTCCTGACTCATATTTATGATGGTTGCAGCATCTCCAGGGTCACACAATCCCCTTTTGCGACAATCTGGCAAACCAAGTCAACGAGGAAGGCAGATTCCCTGAACAACCGGGCTGCTAAATTAACAACGGCAGGGATTCACTTAACGAACGTGGCAAGAAAGGTTATAAAGGGGGACAAAACGGACTTAACAACGGTTCTCGCTTAGCAACAGGAATATTGGGCTCATGAGTGGTCGCAAATCGAGGGCAACCTCTATGTGACAGTGCTGAGAAGCGGATGCAGATATCCAACATGTGGCTTCCATCATCGCTGGACTCCAGTGTCCATAGTCCACAGCCACCGGGGTATTGAATAAGGCAGAATGTGTGCCAGCTTGCCCTGGCCAAAGATAGGTGGGATTGCCGGAGATGAGCAGAAGGCGTGTGCCCAAATTTCACTCGTCCTCTTTTGCCTCTTAGGATCGCTGGACAAATGGGAGCGCCTGACGGTGGCCGATGCGCTAGAGACGGTCCAGTTTGAGGATGGAGAGAAAATTGTGGTCCAGGGGGAGCCGGGGGACGACTTTTTCATCATCACAGAGGTAAAACCTGCCGTTCTCATGTGCCAATCAATCTCTTGCCCATCAAATGACATGGCCTTCTCCTCCATGCGGCCATAGCTTAAATGGTTCACTAGGGTTGGGTACCAGTTAAGACTGCAAACCTTAGAAGGACAAGAGGCCCATGGTTACATGTCCCTCGGTTGCCATTGCTACTACCTCTGTCTGTCTCTCTGTCTTTTCTCTCTCTCTCTCTCTTTCTGCCCCTCCTCCCTCCCT